CCTCTCTCTCGCGCGCGCGCTCTCTCCTCTCTCTCGCGCGCGCACTCTCTCTCCTCTCTCTCTCGCGCGCGCACTCTCTCTCCTCTCTCTCTCTCGCGCGCTCTCTCCTCTCTCTCTCTCTCTCTCTCGCGCGCGCGCTCTCTCTCTCCTCTCTCATGCGCGCGCTCTCTCTCTCCCTTCTCTCTCATGCGCGCGCTCTCTCCCTTCTCTCTCATGCGCGCTCTCTCTCCCTTCTCTCTCATGCGCGCTCTCTCTCTCTCTCTCTCTCTCTCTCTCCCTTCTCTCATGCGCTCTCTCTCTCTCTCTCTCTCTCTCCCTTCTCTCATGCTCTCTCTCTCTCTCTCTCTCTCTCTCTCTCTCTCTCTCTCCCTTCTCTCATGCGCTCTCTCTCTCTCTCCCTTCTCTCATGCGCGCTCTCTCTCTCGGGTGCGCTCTCTCTCTTCTCTCTCTCGTGCGCGCGCTCTCTCTTCTCTCTCGCGCGCGTGCGCGCGCTCTCTCAAATATTATTCAGCACATACAAAGGCACACATTTTGAAATTGTTGTTCTTCCTAACTCTAATTCTCATTACCTACAAAAATACATTTGTCACAATGGAATTTCTAAATAAAAGCAACTATAAGGAAGAAATGTCAAATGAATTTCAATAGATTAATTATTCATTCAAAAAAGCTCATACATATTAAAATTCTGGAGGGATGGGTCACATTCCATGGTGATTGCACAGCGTTAATTTTAATAAATATATAATTAAACAACACCTAAAGAAATATTACCTTCCCAGTAATCAACTCGAATAGCAGGGCTCCCAAACTCCACCAGTCTGCAGCAGGTGTAGCCTCAAAAATTGATGTTATTTCTGGTGCAGCATATAGATTCTCCACAGCTTCTCTATTTACAACAGTATCTACAGCAGGCCAGCTGCAGGTGAAACTGAGCAAAACGTGACCTCCTTCAGCAAGTAGTATATTATCAGGATGCAAATCCCTGTAAACAGAAGTTTCAGTCTAAGCATAAAATAATTATTTAATAATAAAATTTTAAATTATCTTTTACAAACAGAAAAAATACCATGTAGCAATATATTGAATGTTGCAAGAAACTTTTGACTGGACTTAGTAAATTTAATAAAATTCTAATGGTTCACAAGTGCTAGGCGAGAGATCCAGACTTTTCTGAGTTGCCATTGGTGCTTCAATAGGATTTCGTTTAACCTTTTTTATGGAGGATTTTTTGTCGTTCATTGTTATATTTATTGTTTCATTATTATATTCAAATCTGAAAACCTGTTAGAGAGGTACATCCACTAAACACAAGCTATAAGCCAACTGCTTGCACAAACAATTACTATAATGCCCCAATGTAGAGAATGTGCAAGCATGCAAATAAAGTTATAATATACAACAAAATCTCGTTTACCCCAAATCAAAATATTGTGAAACAGCTAAAAGAATATCTGCTAACTGACTACAAGTGACTCAAGGCTGTGTCTCATCATTCTAAGATATTTATTTTCATTTGTAACATTGTAACTTCTGTACTAGTATGCATTAATTGGGTGATTTCCTGCGAAATAAACATTATCATTATTATTATAAGTAGTTTTTTACAAAGGCAGATTTTAATGAAATGTCATTTTTTTCTTTTCACTTTAGATCAATGTATTTTAACATTCACTTTAATTTTATGTTACGAGAAAAGTAAATAACCCATTTTTATGTCTTTTTGTCGGCTTCTTTTTTTGGGGGGGGCATTTTTATCGTCTTTGACTAATAAGTCGTATTTTAACTTTTCTGTTGATTTCATCAATTTTAATATCATTTTAATGGTACTAGCTTCAAATAATATTTACAAGATGTAATAAATGTTCTCCACAGAATCCCTGACTAGCCAATTTGATTTCTTTAATTAGAAATTGTAACATGTATAGTAATCTAAGGTTCCTGTGAAGCATATTAGTGCCATTGTCAGTTCGACCAATTTTAGAATAACTAAAGACCGAGATTATCTCTTAAAGGGTAGTCCAAACCAAAAATTTGCAAATGGAGTTTACTTGAACGAAAGGAAGAAGCCTTGCTTACATCAGTAGCATATCCAACAGCTTGAGTTGTTCACTTCAACTGGTTTAGATATAATTTTTTTAACGTAATATTTTTGTCTTTAGGGTATTTTAAAAATGTTTTAAGAGCATTTTATTGATCATTTTTGGCGATGTTTTAGGCCATCAAAATCTGCCCCCTAGTCATAAGTAAACTGTCTTCTGAGTAGACAGATCATAACTAGTGTTTCTTGAGATACTTTTTCAAGTAGATCTCATTTTAGACATATTATATTCTTAATTATATCCAAATCTAAGTCTGCATTAAGGACATGTAGTCTGAAAACATTTGAATGTGAAGTAGACATACTCCCACATAGAATGTTCGTAACTATCATGTTCCTTGAGAATGTTTTCAAGTAGACATCATTTAACCCTTTTTAAGACTAGGTTTTGATGTTAATTATATCGCAATCTGAGCACTCAACATGAAAGTAGGGCTTGACAATCTCCTGAGATTAATGCACAGATATCTGACAGGTTGTTTATCCTGTGAAGAATAGACACGCATTATCTTGCTATGAATATCACCGCTTATCAATAGATTCTCATCAAAGTGATATGCTAAGATCTTGTGTCAGACTATGATTACCTATGTCTAAAAAGTGATTAAAATTGATTGAACTATCTACAAGGAGTTAGTCATCAAACATTGTTATTTTCATTTTAATATCTATAGATGCATACTAATTTAAAAATCTGTTTATTTGATTTTCAACTGTTGAAAATAAGTGTTTCCTTTTTGTTTAGTAGAAATTAATAAACTATTACATTTATAGAACTTTTTTCTTATCATAAACCATCAGAATCTAAAATCAAGTATTTTCAGAGAAACAAACTAGCATCGATATGGAAATTCAATTATGGCGGATAATCACAAGGTAAAAATTATTTATCAATTTAATTACAGCTGTTTTGTAATCTTACCTGAATACAAGGCCTGATTCATGAAGAGCTGCCAAGCAAGTTACAAGCTGCTCTGCCCACTCCCGAACACGGCCTTCAGGAAGACGTGGTGCTGGCTTCTCCCAGTGATGCATGCTGCCACCCCCACATGCAGTGCGCCACTCCACGAGGTCCTGAGAACAGAGATGGTTTTAATAATAATAATATATAATTAATATTACAAGCAATTTATATTGCATTTAATATTTGGGGAGGAATAATGCTACTTTTACCCAGAAGCAAGAGGAGCATTTCTGCTTTTAGTTCGGTTACACATTATATCTGTCATTTGTTAATAAAACTGAAGCAGGTATGGCTACCGGTTTATTTCGGTAGGCCATTTTTCCAAAAACATGGCTTTTTCCAATAACATGAATGTGCTGAAACGCTGATGAAGATGTGGCCTTTTAAAAGTAAGTTACTAAATTACTTTCAATTAAAGATTTCATTAATAAATACACATTCAAATATCTTTAAAAATGAATAACATTATGTAAAACATAAAAATAAATTATAAACCCAGACAACCCCAGGTATTTCAAGTGGCCATCCCCTTCTAAAATTTTAATTCAGTAGTAATTACTCATGCACAATTTTAAAAGGAAAAATTGATGAAGTAAAGCATATATTCAATTTTGCAACTGAAACTATAGTTTTTATACAATTTGTTATACATGCAAAGAAATTTCAATTTTCAGTGAGTGAGTGTTTATCAGTGTTCAGCATCAACATAGCCTTGTTTACAACATGGATGTAAAGGTGCTTAAAACGTCTTGATTGCAACTCAAGTCAGTTTCCTATTTAGAGCCTTTAATTTGACAACTTGTTCATATAAACACAGTCTAAGTTCATAATTAAGTTTATAACCAAAAACACAAACACACACACACGAACAACAACAATGTAACTTAAATAACATTTTCTCTGTTCACATTTACAATGTATCTATTAACTTTCAGATTAAATTTTTCTTCCTAGCTTTACTGGCAGCAAGTTCTATAATGTCCTCACAATCCAAATGATTTTAAGATTTATTCACTATAGTAAGGAATCTAAGAATATTTTCTCCCATTAAAGCTGCATTCTAAAGGTAATTGTTTACTCTCGTCAAAGGAGAAAAAGAACTTTCGTCACAATTATTTATTTAATCAACAAATAAAATTTCTGTGAAGAAAGTTTGAAAATAAATAAATAGCAGCTACCCTTAAACAATGCCCACCTGAAGACAGTGACCTAGTTTGCTTAAGTAGTAGTTGCTTAATAGTAAATTCTCCTTTGCCTGGAGATGATTACACACACTTTCATTTATTTCTCTATTTGTTTCTTTTTCTAGCATCAAATGTTCATTTTTTTATTTATTCGGAAAACCTTTAGTCAAAACTGATTGAAAATCTGAGGTACCATCACAAGCTGCAAGGCATAAAATTGATACACAAGATCAGACATTTTGAAAAGTACACATAAATAGTTATTTGCTACTTCAATGGCAATGGCAATCATTTACCCTTCATTTACTGTTACCTATATATTAACATTCCATCTTGATCAAATTAAACAATAAATCAATCTGAGATACCAATTCTGTCACAATGTATCAAAATGAAATAATGTGTTCCTTGCTGAAAACGTCCATTTGATAAACAGCAATTAGACAACACTGGATTGCAAGTTTGACAACAAAAATTTAATAATAACTATAACAATAATAATAATAATAATAACAATAATAATAATAATAATAATAATAAGTTAATAATTGCAATTAAAAGGATCTGTTTTCCATATACAAATGCTTTTAAATTAAAGTTGGGATCAAGGCTTTATGCACTGTGTTGAAAACAATGAAGGTTCTTCAATGGAGGTAATGATTGAGATATCTGGTGTATATATTTTTGTTTTAATAATTTGTATATATTGTAGAATTGCTTCATTGCTCACTGTTTTCACCCTTTTAAAACAGTTTTAAGGCTACTTTCAACCTCTTGTACTATATTCCATTATTTCTGTGGGCTTAAGAATACATTAAATTAAATTAAAAACCTTCGTAATGTCATCAAGGGCTTTCATTAGAATAAAAATTCTAACAAATCTAGACGTCTGGCCTCAGCTGACATTTCCAGACGAGTATTTTTTCTGAGTTACATGTAACATTGAATCTGGTCTACATTTCAATATCAATGTTCATAATAAATACAACATTACTTTGCATTTGAAATGAAATTCTCAAAAGAAATATATTTCTCCTAATTTAATAATATTTTAAATTAAAATAACCTCCTAGACAAATAAGACAGTCTTGTAAGACATTTGGTCACTTACATCACTGCTGAGGCGATGTTCCAAAGGTAGTCTGCTTCCAGATGATCGGCGTCTCAGCGGTAAACCTTTTAAGCGTGGTTTTGTTCTCACAGGAGTGTGATCTTCAGGTTCGAGGGTTTCACTCTCCGAGATTCCATGGAGAGACTCATTGTCCCCTATACTGCTTTTCAAAAGAGTTTCACTCACAGATTGCAGCAATTGCTGAGCATTTCTCATTAGTTCCTTTGTCTCCAGATGTTCCACATTACTTGTGTGACAGTCTGATACAAGAGATGAAATACCAATATGTTTTGAGGAAACCTGCAGATTCAGGGAATCGGAAACAGGTACATCAGGACAGTTTTTAAGAACTTCTTCCACAGTTGGACTATGGTTGGTTTTATCATCCACAGTTAATTGTTGAATAGAATTTTCAGAATTAGAATGGCACTGATCATTATTAGCAGAGTTATCTTGAAACTCAATTTTGAGTTTCCCTTCTCTATAATTTTGAATGAGAGCAGCATAACTGTCTTCTTGAGCTGCAAGCAAAGTATCGCTGTCACTTGGTGCTTCGTTAATTGCGTCAGTAGAAGATTCTTCAATTAGTTTGCGACCTAAATACACGTTTCCTCGAGACAGTAAGTGGACAGGAGTTGCTGGCTGAGATTGCAAATAAGAAATAATATGGTCCCAAAGACGGCCTCCACTGAAAATAAGAAATTAAATCTTATGTAGCTCTGGTAGCAACAAGTCATCCAGAATTTTTAAAACTTTTTTTAATTGAACAACCACCTTCAAGCTTTTTAATAAATAAGAAAACAAAAATAACAAAAGGATGGCTCACCTTGCATGCTGCAGAAATAAAAACACTGCTGACTCGGTCTCAAAATAAAAATGTAATTTGACCATGTAAGGTACATTCAGAGGGAGTATTGGTACTTGACATCTGTTTACAGGACATGGACTCTTGTAAAGCACCTAGAACATACCAAAAAATAGCCTTACTATTTCTATGCTTTTATTCCAATATATACCAAAATTCATGAAAAACGAAACAAAGACAATTTTTCATCATTGAATCAAAAGAAAAAACCTACACAAGTAATAGATGAAAAGTATCTATACCAATGTGATATTGATTTACTCTTAGAAAATCTTGGCATGCCTTATATGCTCCATCCTTAAACAAACTGTTTTAACAGAGCCATATACTGCACTTATCCAAATATAAGTTGACTCTGAATATACGACAACCCCATATGCATGAAAATGCCACCAGACAATTTTAAAAGTCGTTTACTACTTCTTACTACTCTGTCACAAAAAATTGCAAATGGTCTAGAAAACTGTCTTGTTGACAAGAATGTTACACTTATTGTCTGTAACCAAAACACCAGCATTTTGAAGATCCTCATCGTCAGAGAAGTGACAGAATCAAAGCCACTTCATGTGGTTGAAGTGGTGCAAATTGCTGGGAGCTAAGTCTAGGCTGTACGGGAATGGTCAAAAATGTCCCGTTGAAACATTTCAAAATGTTTTGTGATAACCCAGCACAGTGAAGTTGCAGATAGATGTTTTGCTGACAATCAATTTTTCAGTATCAAGGACTCGAAAAGCATGGATTCTGGATACACCACAGGTTGAAGGATTTTTTTTTTTTTTTTTAAAACTAAATTTAGCATCTGGATTTATCCACTTTTTTGTCGCCAGGGCCCTGTAATAAGTTTTCCTGCTGAAAATTCGCTAGTATTTCACACAGCATTATATAAATTCAAACATAAAAAGCAAAAATTGCCTATATTCCACTCAAAATAACAAGAAAAATACTGAAAATTTCAAAAAATTGTACATGGTCTTATTTCACAGAATAGATTTTGTTAAGGGAAAAAATCTTTAATATTTTAGTTGTAGAAAGACGCCAAAAAATTTGGAATTTTTTATAACTTTCTAAATCAGGGTTTTCAAATGAGACATGCACAATTCTCTTAAATGTCCTTCACATTATCTAACAACATGATTTAATAAAAACCAATGGAGCCATTTTTATGAAAATTTTGAAAATGTCTTAAGGGATGCTTGTAGAGTACTCCCCAAAATTAAAATACTGCTTTCAAATTCAAGGTGCTGTGACATCAGCCAGACGATTTTTTTAGAAAATCAGCTGAACAGTTTAGTTGCTAGCGTTGTTCACACACGGACGAACAAATGTTTTGCAGTCACTAAATTTTTCGGCATTAAGGACCCACAAAACATGGATTCTGGATAGGTTATGTGTTAGAGGATATTTTTTCTAAATTTAGCAACTGGATTTATCCACTTTTTCCTTACCAGAGCCCTGTAAAAAAAGTTTCTCTGCAGAAAATTCACCATTTTTTCACGCAGTATTACATAACTTTCTTGGTAATACATAGCAGTAGCAAGTAATATATAGCAAAATCCTCTAACACATGATGCAGTCAGAATCCACGTTTGGTAGTTTCTTGATATAGAGAAATCGATCGACATGAAAATGACGGTCCATCTGTGAACAAGTTTCTAAAAAAACTCAAAACTTTTCATTGAAAAAGAGCTCAAAAAACAGCATTTTCAGAAACACTCAAACACCATTTTCTCAAAAACAGTTCCAAATTTTCTTCTTCAAATTTTTGTACAGATACTATGAATTACACTGTTTAAGATCATATAAAATTTATAATCCTTATGTTGTTAAAAAATTACACATATGTATTTTTTTTAATTATATCTCATGCCTTTAATATGCCCATTTCCAGCGATTAGTATATACATTGTTGCAATGACTTCCAATAAAGTTTTTCAAAAGATCATAAGATTTCTGAAGAAAAAAAAGCCTAAAATTTTGCATTTCACCATTTCTGTAATGTGATTTTCTCACAAACTCCAAATTTGTCAATTATTTTTTTCTTAAATAACAAGGTTTTACTCTACTATAATATTCTTATAATAATATATTTCAATTCTATTATGAAACCAGAAAATAGAGAAAATTTTTTAAAAAATGTACTTTAGGCAGCTATGCATGGCAGCAGGATAGACAATGTGGCTAGTTCAGACCAAAGAAATTAGAAAACTAATACAAGAAAGTCTGTGCCATTCTTTGGCAACACTAGTTTCTTTATTCAGTGCTATCAATTCACTGCCTTTCTCTTCTTCTGCTCTCTCTCATACCAACTCAGTTTCTCTAATACCATTTCCCCCTGCTTTCGTTCTTCAATAGCATTTTTCTGCTTAGCTCTGGCCCCACAAACATAGCAAAGCAGGTCTCGATCAACGATGACATTTTTTCTCCACCTGCAGTTTAAGGTTATATTATCGAATGCCAGTTCGTAGCCCTAATGTGTGCAAGTGTAGATCCGACAATATGTGACACGGGCACAATGGAGCAAATTTAAATTCATTGGCTGTGTCTTTTTTCCTCTCACATAATGTTTAGAGGGTTTATGGCATTACAGTTTATACTAAGGGAGAATTTTCAAATACATTCGACAATGTTTCATAGGGTAATGTGTAATTCGTAAGCTTTATGACTTAAAATGATGATGAAATAATCTTAAAATAGTTATTTAAAAATTATTCGTATACTTAATAATCTCTTTTAAATAATTAATTCCATCATTTGGAAATAATTGTTAACTGGAATTCTACATCCACAATAAATTTTTTTAATGTGAGAAATTCTTCCCTGTGTTTCCCCTGTTTGTTTTTTCCTCTTCCAGGAATTGAAATTCCTTGGGTTTTCCAGAAAGTAATCACCCTGACATACTTTCTTGCATTATTTCTAACTGCTCTGCTATTCATGTAAATTACTGCATAAAATTCAAATAGAGTTTATACTTGTATCAACACAAATTATAACCAATTTATTTCCTGCAATCTTTGAAATTCTATTCTTCTTTTATTCATCTAAATAACCTTAAGCCTAAATTTGTTAATAAAATAATTAGTCATGTTTCAGCGGCACATAAATTAGCACATAAAATAATGCTTCAGCGGCACATTATTTGTAACTGCTCCACAACACTATATGAATCAGCAAAAGTGTTTTCATCCAGCAAATTTTATTTCCACACAAGAGACTCGAAATCAGGTCCTCTGAGTTAACTCACTGTGAGCCTTACCTCTACACTATGGAAACATTGAGGGTTTCGACGGGCAGATACTTGTCTCAACCCAATATTTCCAACATGCAATTTTACTTCTTTCTTTAAAACACTGTATGTGACCTTTTTTAAAAAACTGATTTTGGAGAACAGATTTTTGTTGAAGGCAAAAATCTTCAATTTTGTAGTTTTGAAAAGTTAACTTTTTGTGATTTTTGCAATTTTCGAAAATACTATGAGTTAGCCGAAAATGAGACTGGCACCATATTTTTACCATCCTTTGTTACATACGAGGAGTAAATTCAAGGAGAATGTTCGAACAATTAAAAAAAGAATATTTTGTTTAGAAATTGCGTAAATTTCAGACAAATTACATGAAAAATTTACTCATTTTTTCTCCAAAAAATGAACATGGCCTTTTTTTGAAGAGCTGATTTTTTTTAGAACAAATTTTGTTTAAGGCCAAAATTGCTATCTTCAATTTTGTAGTTTTGAAATGTTAACATTTTGCAATTTTTGAAAATACAGAGTAAATTTCTACAGCCAAGCTTCATAAGGTTCTAGAATATTCCAGAGCAGAAACTTCCACATGATTGGTGCCCTATACACGTGATGTGATTGTGCTTGAAGAGAATCAACAGTCATTGATTCCTAATGTGTGGCAACATCATGTGGAAGGATGGAGAAGTTAAGCCACTGTTTGTCTTCCCTGTGCAGTGCAGTTATAGATACCTTGACTATGTAACACTGGTCCTCTTCTGTGCTCATTGCCAGCATCACTTTTCCCACAACCCCAAGCACTTTGAATGCTTGCAGGCTTGACAGAGGGCATGCCACCGGCTGGCTGGGGGGTGCTGGCTGGGAGGGGGAAGGGAAACGAGGAGCCAAGTGTTCGTTGTACAGCTTCTCTGCTGTTGCCAGGTACTCAGAAGCTTTGCGCTTCACTGTATATCTTCGAACTCCGTCTGTCTCATCTACGGAAACCAATAAGAAATATAATTAAAACTGAGACTTCAAAGTTCAACCCTTTTAATAACCACATAAAGGGAATTCGAATACATAATAGACAAAAATATCTTCTCCAGTAAACATCAATATTTTTTCTGAAATCAATGAGCAGAGGAATTAATTTCACTGGTTCAATTACAAACATTAATTGAAGTTTGGGACTCTTTTAACTAAATATTATCAAACACTATTAAGTAGTTCTTTACTGTAAGTTTTTAAACTGGAACTGGAATTAAGCTCCTTTGTGTAGGTTTCTTTTTCAAATTGCACTAACTATCCGTTAGTCAGTTGTTTAATTCCAGATGGAAGAAATTTACAATATAAATTGCCTTCAAATGTATTTGTCATTTTGGTGAAAAAATTATTTTGTAATTATACCCTTCTATAATTTGTGAACATGTAAATAAATGGAATAAGCAATAAAGTGAATCTTAATTATTAAAATGTTAATTATTATTTAAAGAATTTGGGTTTCTGCACTTTTCTTACCACCCACCCAATGGAGTGGTAGACCCCAAAAGAAAAAAAAAATCTCCAAAAATGTAATAAAACGTTCAAAAAGGTCTCATTTTCTAGAATGTTGCTTAAGAAATGTAATTCAAGCACCATGCGTCTCCCTTCATGCCCCTCATCAGTTCTCAGACTGTCCCCACATGGGCCCCCAAACTTGCGTCTCCACTGAACTCGTATGTCCCAATAAAACTTATGTCTCTTTGAGACTCAAACCGAATTTTAAAGGCCTCAGCTGCACCGTTTCTAAGATAGGCACAATTTTAATGCGCGTTTCAGTTATCTGTTTTTATGTCATCATCTACAAACTTACATCTTCTTGGTCTTAAATCTGTTGGAATTAGAGATGGAGCCCTATCAAGCAGTAGCATACTTATAGGGTTTTGTGGAAATAGTTTCTTATAAGTTGTCAAGAACCATCATCTATCCTCAACGGGTTTTATCGAGAGAGGATTTGGGTTTATTGGCTAAGATATTTAAAAAAAAAAAATTTAAAATACTTTTTATCTAATTGTTCTCCATATAAATATCATTCTAAGTTTTTTTAAAGCTCAGTAAATTACTAGTACAAGGAAATTGTGGGGACCAGAGTAATTATTTTGTTATAACAAAGGAAGTTGATTATTACAACACCAAATAGTGTATTTGATACAGGATATCAACAAGAATTTACTTCAACAAGAACTTACAACCGAAAAGGCTTAAAATTTATTACACAAGAGGAAAATAAAATATTTATATATTAAAATTACAGGAAGTTTTGCAGGTAATATTTCAGCAAATTATTGATTCTAATTTTTCAAATTGGAATTAAGAAACCCATTTTTTATGACATCTTATTTGTGAGAGATATGATTAATCAAACAACACAACCAAAACATGACCTTGTAGCATCCATTGGTTGTTTTCAAACTTTCTGCTCCTAGCAGACCGACAACATGACTTCTAGCATTAGAAGACACACACAACTGACCGAGTACATTTAAGTATGAAAAAAGGCTACTATGTTAGATTACTTTAAATAATAATAAACAATATAATATGAATAATATTTATCATAAAAGATGATGAATTTCAATTTTATTTTGATAAAATAAAAAAAATTATCAAGCAATGTAGTAACATTTTAATTTATTATACAGTTCGAATTTTGTCATTGAAATAATTTTACATAACATAAGTAAAATGGTGGGGGCCTGAAACTAATTTAATAACTCTGAAATATTTGTTATAATGGTGTTTGTTTTAACAATATTTCACCAAAGCTGTGTCCGCATAATGCATCATTTCAGCTTGAAATTGCTTGCGTGAAGTTAAAACAGGCATGTGCACTACACTGTTCACATGGTTTCTCTTTGCCCTTCAATGAATTCAAGTACAATTCAAAGAAAATTTTACTTTGAATTGTAGTAACTATATTACATTTTCTGCTCAAGCAACAAAATATTATTCTCTTCAAAATACCAAACCCCAGTCTTCAATAATATCCAAGTTACATTCATTTCTGGAAGCTCTTATTATAGCTAAGACTGTACCATTAGTTTCCACAAGACTTCAATTATACACTTGAACTTAGATCTGGTGCTCAAACAAACTAAATGAGGCTTAAAGAGGGCTAGAAATGCAAGCTAAATGTTTTGAAGGTGCACACTATTTGCTCTTTGGTGAAAATGCAAGATGAAGATGCACAAGATTCCTGTCTGCAGGAAGTCATGTGCTATTGCACAAGTCTTTCCTTTCTGAGAAAAGATGCATGCCTGGATTGCATGCGCTACATGTGCTCAACATGCATATGACGTAGGAACAAAATTGAATGAAAAGCTGAATGAAAGGGTGCAGATTTAAGCAGTCTAACAAAAAAGTTGAGCTTTAATTTTAAGATGCATTTCAGCTTTGTCTCAACATCTTTGCAAAATTATAAACTTTTGTGGAATTTTTAGACAATGCATTAGGAGATAAATCCAGTTTTAAATTAACCAACTTCTTTAAAATGTCTAGTGCTATGAGCACTTAATATAATATTCAACTAGGAAAGATAAACGTATTCATTTCAACCACATACCTTGAACTCCAGTGAGAAGGCATGAAATCGCTAATTTTAACAAGGAGAATGCAGCATCATATGCTCCTGCTGCCTGATGTCGCATTGCCTGAGTTACATGATGGTTGGCCTGAACCATGTAATCCTTGGGATCCTCCATGGGCACATCTGGAGGAGTGGAAGAAGCTTGCGTTTCTGTAGTAGGAACCCAATTAGTTGGATGGTCTGCTTCTCTGCCATTATTCTGATTCAGTGCCTGAGATCCTTCCTTCTGTAAGACAAAACCATATGTTTTTGAAGACTTAGTTTACATTCAATAAAGATGACATTGAAGTACATGAACAGTCAACTGCAGCTCAACCTCTCCAAAAAGAGATTTTAAGAGATAAAGTTACAATTCTAGCACTAAGCCAATGATCAAAGAAATCAAAAATCCTAATAAGAGAATAAAACGTCTAAAACTACATATTGTCAAAAACGATGAAAGGAAACATTGTTTTTATAGCACCTTTCAATAAAAAAGAACATAATTGCAAAAAACTGTCTCACCTGGGGATTGGCATTTGGACCATTCAGAATGGAGTCTGTATCAGTATATGAAGTGTGTTCTGAAGAACTGTGAGAACTTAGAGAGATAGAATCAGAAACTTGAGGATATTGCCAGGTCCCTCCAAGTTTCAACAAGGAACCATTTTCCATGCTTCTAGAAGAGAAATCAACATATTCTTTTCAGGTCTTTAGTCCATCTCAAGGGATTGCATACAGAAAAATATGAATAACTTTACAATAATCAATATTATGTTATAACATGCCAATCAATGATAATGCTACAACATGACGCTTATATATCCAAGGAAGTTAGAGAGTGAAACAGATAATTATTAATTCTTCAGTATATCCATTAAGCCATCTTCAATTACATCTAGTTACACTACAAAATGTGTAATACACAAAAGTAGTTAAGGTAAAATAAAGTTATTTTAGAGTTTATTTATTCAAATTCAGAAAAGTTAAAAAAAAAAAGACACTGTTCATGAAATATAGTTACATGTGGAAGATATCCAATATGCTCATGTTTTCTTGACCTCTAGAATCCCCACCTCCTCTCTTTTACTGTACTTTGCTGAGTTAAGATAAAAGAAGATAATAAAAATACCAACCAAAGTTTTTGGCAGTATTTGAAAACAAGAAATATTCATTCATCTGTAAAAGAAACTATTTCCATTGGTAAACAAGCTACAGATTTTATTTGATGACACTACTGATGAAATAAATATACTCCCCACCAATACACCAAAAACTCACGAAGGCATGAACCAATAGCGAAGCTACATTTACTGTCCTGAAGTAAAGCAAGGGGCAATATCAGCATTTGCTCAATGATACAAGAGACACACTGAATGAAAAACCTGATGGAAACCACGGTCTCAGAAGCTGAAGCACACACTGTGTTGGTTTTTCGGAATACTGTTGTAACGCAAAAAACCTCTTTTGTGAAAGAGCGCAATTTAATTGTGATCTCAATCCATGAAATTACAATACATCTGCCACCAAGCAGCAATTGATATGTCAGAAATAAAGATTTATCTCAGATAAAAAAAAATGCCTTTTTTACCGATTCCCTTTAAAATCTAAAGTTTTGCCTTTTTTGAGTTAAACAGCATTCTGCAAAAGTAATGACTTGTTAAAGTATATTTTGTCTTTTAGAATAAAACAATTAAAATGGCAATTAATGCATAATATCATTATTCACATAAATATTATTTTTGATGCTCAATACATTATTTAAATGAACAGAAACAATTTTGCAGCAGTACGAACTTTACTTTGCACTTCAACTGGTGAATCAATTGTAAAAGTTTAATTCATTTGGCAACGTATTATAAAATAATGAACATACAATATTTGTGGATATTTTATAATGAGATGTTCATTACGATACCTGATAAGTACGATTCCTATGTCATAATTATAGTGTTCTAATGATTTATTATAGAATTATACATAATTGTTATTATTACAGATATCTGTATGGGATGCAAATATTTGATAAATTAATTAAGTCAGTTTTGACACAAATCCCAGATTTAAAAATGAAGCAAGGTAATGGTAGTATTCCCAGCTCACTAAAAGGAACTCGCAGGTATCATGTCGATGAGATTTGCACTTTATTTGTACAATTGTTTTCTGAAATCTAAAAGTATGGGAACTATTGGATGTGTTTCCTCAAAGTCATATCTCAGGAGGAAATATACATGTGCAAAAAATGTGTGTACATGCAACACTTGCATATGCAAAATATATGCCATAAATTCCAAGTACAGCACTGCAAATTGTAAACAGGACCAATGTATCTTTTCTTTCCTGGGTTTACTTCATAGGGAAGCTTTAAAGTGCCAGTTATTTTATAAAACTTCAATTATTAGTTTTATCAAGAATACAAACATAGAAGCATATACAGTTATATGAAAACATTAAAATATTTTGAAAACTTACTTTGTGTGACTTTGTTCAATTGGAGAACTGACTGGATGTAATGCACCATTTTGAGCGTAAGCAGATGGGTCTTGTCGGCCAGCGCCAGTCTGCCATTCTTCACTACATTGCCCAAATTCTTTGCACTCATTCTGGTCGTACCCAGACTGTAAGAAAAAAATATTTTCAACTAAGACTCAAACCAATACAAAATTATGTCAAAAGAAATTATAAAATGAAAAATACTTTTTTGTCACAAGTTCCAGAGAGTTAACAAGGTAAAACTTCATGTTAATGTTGGAAGGTAAATATTCAATAATGACAATTATCTATTATCACGATCTGTATAATTACAGCATAATACTGAATAATTACAACTGAGTAACACAACACAAAATTTTGAAGTAAATAACAAAAATCAATTTTTTTTCTGCTTAAGTCTGTTTCATTAAAATTGTTGGTTGAAGTCAAGTATACGGTACAATTTCCAGAAGTCGTTTAAATCAGCACTTAGCACTGCTCAGGCGGTAACTGAGCAGTTTGAATTCTGGAAGCTTTCTTGAAAAGTGTTTTCTTATAAAAATGAATTGGTAATTATACGGTGGATAGACTCAAGGATGTTTATAATGAATGCGAGGGCCGAAGACTCAAGCCTCCCCATCACTTGGATCTTGGCGAGCGAAGCGAGAAAACTTGCCTTCGAAAGTAAATTGGCATTACAATGCGGCAGGGACAAAGCATATCAAGGGCGAGCTATGAAAATTGCCTATCTGTAAGTTTTATTCATTTCTATCAGAGCATATAGCGTAATTTGAGAGGGCTTAAGGAGAGCCCCCTCCCCCCACCGCCACTGCCCCACAGCTTCTCCAAGGGTGTACCGTGTACCCTACTTTAACTAAATATTTACTTGAGGGATATATTTTTCTAAAAAATCATTTTGGCGAACAATTACATTGTGTACTGCATGTTGTGCTCAATCAAAACCTTTTTTATTTTATTGAAGGGGACATTTAACTTTAAAACACAGTTCTTATAAAGCTATGAAAAGGAAAAATTCAATGGTGCTCACCTCAAAGAATTTGACAAATGCATTACTGGTGAATAATGGTGGATGAGCACCAATAAATTCCAGAAGTACAGTAGCACATTTTCGTCTTTCTTCAATGACTTCTTCTTCAAATCTGTAGAATAAAATGAAAGTCTATATCTAACTGCAAAGGGCAGGGTTTCAAGTTATTTTCACAAGCACAATTATATGATCACCTTCTGAAGAATTTTGCTTCTGCAAAAGCAGGAAATTTGCCCTGGAGATATAATTTCTTATGTTTTTGATGAAGTTCAGTGTGCAACTTCTTGAAATCATTGTATCTTTTCCACACTATTACCTTGGTAGAAGCCTCAGGTGAACCTTTCGGAAATACCTACAAAAAATCACAAATAACTTTAACATTTAAATACAAATGTGAGCATAAAATTTGGCAGAAATAAAAATTATCACATTGTCTTTTGACACAAGCAATAAAAATTACTGTCAGAAAGAACTGGTAGTATGAAGTTCATTCAATTGACAATGATTGTTTGATTGACCTTTGTACCTATCACACAATTGTGTGTGTAGAAGTTCCTCTATAAAAGTATGTGTGTACAAATCACATAATACATACGTATTGCACAACAGAGAATACAACAATTGCCAATGATATATTTAATAATGGCATTTGAACTTTTTAGTACAAAACTCAAGAATTGGTGGAGAGACTTACAGAATCTAATAAACTATACCCATGAAACAAACATGACACTATAGCGATGAAGTGAACAATCATACTCAGTATTGTTGGTTTCATGTGACATCTCCAGAGATACTCAAGATACACCTTCAAGATGCATAAGAATAAAAATTGTGGATTATTTTGACTCTTAAATGCAATAATAATGAAACTTAACTCAATAGCATAAAATGGAAATATTACAATTCGGTACCGTGAACATGTAACACTTCACAATAAAAGGAACTACTCACAATAGAAGTTACTTTATAAATGGTGAACCCATTGTTATGCTTTCTGGGGTCTGACACAGTAAATCTTCTAACCCAATTGTCATTTGCACAAGGAGTCATGTTTTGCTTTCCAATCGCTGTCAGATTGCGTCAATGTTTAGCTCGCCCCATAGTCAATACTACTGACAAAATGGCACAAATTGCGTCATTTCTAGCATGTACTTTCAGCACCACCGCCTTCGACCACACTGAAGTTATGCTCATACATAGTAAATGTAATAATTCGAGCTCAAGGCACCCATAACCTTAACACGGCCCACAGCCATCACAATAAGGTGTCAGGGTTAGGTCACGGTGCGCCGAGATCGGGATCGGCCGGAATATAGAATTGAAATCTGACGAATCGATCTATTCGCCGATTAAAATTTCGCCATACCGTTCAAGATATTGAAGCTCCGGCACGGATAACAGTGCCCCTTTCCTAACATACCAAGAATTTTCAATCGGAAAATAGTCAAGAATGATGTTCGATTTATTTTTCTTGTGCCTTCATTTATTTGTAAAAAAAAAAAAAAACAACAAAAAACACACGCATGAGAATCATGTGAGAAAGAATATCAGGTAAGGATCACATAAGAATGTAGAAATGAGAAGTTTACAGGGCCGTGGGTGTGTTGATTTAAGAATTACTGGCACAGATAAAAATGTACCGTGATGTGCCAATTTATTATTATTATTATTATTATTATTATTATTATTATTATTATTATTATTATTATTATTATATAAATTAGCAATTAATAATAATAATAATATAAAATAATAATAATAATAATAATAATAATAATATAATAATAATAATATAATATAATAATATAGAAGAAGAAGAAGAAGAAGAAGAAGAAGAAGAAGAAGAAGAAGAAAAAGAAAAAGAAGAAGAAGAACAACAACAACTACTACGACAACAACGACAACGACAACGACGACAACGACAACGACAACATCAACAACAACAACAACAACAACAAGAGCAATCAAAATGTTAAGAGAAATGTAACACGTGGAAATACGAAAGGAGGATAATTTATGCTGGAAAGCGCCTGCTTAATTGATGTAGAGAGAAAACCAAGAGAAAACAACAGGATGATGGTATGGCTCAACGGACAATACTTCCGGAACATCGAAGGACGTCCATTGTGTGGACAATAGGGGAAGCGGGAATAATGAGGGTTACTTTTTGTTTTTTCAATACAAGTTAATACCAATTGTTAGTGTGAACAAGTATGTGCCATAATATCTCACGTTAGTTATTAAGCTTGTGTTTTCATAACAAAGATTAATTAACAATACATTAAAATCCTCTCAATTATCGAATTCTCAAAAATTTGCATTTGACCCCCATGACCTCTGCATACTGGTAATGGTCACTAAAGCAATATGAAGCAAAATGAACACATCTGTGCTTCAAACACTATTTATTTTGTTCACAGTAATTGTAGGCATATAATGTAATGCGACTTCCAAGGTTGATCAAGATTAGCAATAGGCTGGCTTCTGGGCAGTTGGTCAAGTATGGCTCTTAAAGTGTTTGAGCCAATTCTTCATCCATCCAGCCATTCTTACTACAGATGCACGCAGGGACATATTTAGACATTTAGGCCCTTGCAAAAGAGGGGGGAATTAAGTCACCTGTTGCATTAATCCAGCAAATAATGGTGGTTGTTGTTCCTCTCTCCCTGGGCGTGGCTACCCTTATTCTTTTGATCCTTTGGGACAATATTGTTCTGAGTTACTGGAACTATAGTAAATCTTGCTACATCAATATTAAAAATTCTGTAAGCAGCAAATTTATGTTTCTCTTGAAGTTTTTCTAAATTATAAAAGAAATAGATGAACCTCCTCTATACAAAAACCTTCAAGCCTGTCGAGGCTACTCCCCTCTAGGATCTCCCGGTCAGAGTCGCTGCAGTCAGCAGCAATATGGGCTGTCAGCATTCGGACAGATCATCAGTTGGATCATAAAATGTCAAATCTTACCGTCGTTGAAGAGAAGCAACTATGGATAGAGAACGTGGTTATCTCAGCAGATTTCAGAGTGAATCAGGAAATATAAAAAAAAGTGGTGCTTCAACAGTGCATACGTTTTCACGTTATTTCTAACTTTTGCAATTTTTGAAAATCCAGAGATTTCAACGAAAATGAGATAAGCGCTATTTTTTAAGCATTCGTTACACCATCCGAGGGCAAAGTTTAATACAAACATTTGGAGCCACTGTTGAAAACATTTTGTTGAGGCTTCATGTAAAGTATCCCACAAAATCAAAATATCCGTTTCAAACTCGCAGAGTCTCGAGTGGGTTCAGATCAATCGGAGAATAACAGGCTAGGCGTGGCCAACAGTTTTTGCCTCGGGCCAGATTAGAAAGAAACCACAGGCCGAAAAAAATATTAAAATAAAAGAATGTTAAATACGAAAATGATTGGTTTAGATAAAGAAAATTTCATTAAGTAATTTGTTTATAGATAAACGTAAGTAGTATTTTAGTATACCGATTTTTAAAAAAATAATCGCGGGTTGCATAAATTCATTACGCTGGTCGGATCCGACTCGCGGGCGATTTTTCGATTTCAAGGACCTACAAAACATGGATTTTGACTACACAACGTGTTGGATGAAGTAATTTACTACATATTGGAACAAAATTTATCCACCTTTGTTGCCAGGACTCGACAATAAGAAATTTTTCTCTCGAAAAATCCCCTCCACACGATTACTATGCTTTCTCTTTACTACGATCATAATAAGGCGAGAAACATATGTGATCTCCAGAGAGAGCTGCAAAGAATCTAGAATCGGAGGATGAGAGTTGTTCCAGTAGTAATTGGGGATCTGACGGCCATATCCACAGGCCTGCTGCGTATAGACAGGACACTTATGTAAAAATATAGTTTTTGTCTTTCCATGATCATTTCTCAAAATTGTGGTCTTGGAGAATCAGGGCAATCTTAACACAATATCCAATTTTTGCTTTCTCGCCCTTACTTTGTAAGAGGAGAAAGTATTGCAATTTATATATATATATATAATATTATATATATATATCGATATATATATATATATATATATATATATATATATATATATATATATATATCGTAAATTACATATAGCACATTTTGTTGTCAGAATTCATGTTTTCTGGGTCTCTGATACCGAAAAATCGATTGACCGCAAAACGTTCGAGACCCTATGAGTTTAAAACAGAAAGTATGATTTTTAAGGGTACTTTACATGACGCCTCAGCAACGCTTTAAACATTTCCTCAAAAATGGCTCCTAATTTTTTGATTAAACTTTGTTATCGGGTAATGTCAAGAATGTCGGTAATGTAAGGGAATATCGCAGGTCTCATTTTGTTGAAATCCCGAATCTATCGAAAATTGCAAAAGTGCAATTTTATGGGCGTTTTCCTACTAATACAATATAGAAAATAGAGACTTTTTCCATTCATGAAATCTGTTTTTTAAAGACAGATCGTGAAATAAGGACATGAACAATGTTTCAAAAACATGAGTAGTTTTCGCGTACTTTTGTGTGAAACAAAGGCAAATTTTAAAATTCTTTAAACAATTTTTTCTCAAAAAACTCTTTTTTTAAAAAAAATATTAACCTCGTATTTATGAACAGACGGCAAAAAATGTGGAGATAGTCTAATTTCCGTCGAAGTCTCAGTATGTTCGAAAATAGCCAAATATTTACATTTCAAAACTATAAAATAGAAGATGAGGATTTTACGAAAACAATTCCAGGAACTTTTATAAACTTTTTAAAACTAAACTTATAGGAAATCAATCACAGAATGCCTATGCATCAAAAACAAAATGAAGATTTGGCATTAAACAATGAAGATAACTGCAAAATATTTTGAAAATATCCTAAACTGTGAGGAACCATCACAAAGATTCCCCACAAAATAACCTGTAGAAACAATTCAAAACTCCACACCACCCGATGAAACTGAAATCACCAAATACGTCAACAGGCTTAAAAACAACAAAGCATCTGGAGAAGATGAAATAGTAGCAGAAACAAATTAAGCAGCAGGGCCAAACATCATTAAAAAATACTAAAGTTATGCACAATATTTGGCCATCACAAAAACATCCAGAAGAATGGAAAACTGCATTAATTCATCCATTACATAAAAACGGAAATAGAGCAGATGTCAATAATTGTAGAGGAACTTCATGTTTTCATCGATCACATTTGTATATTTTATTTCTTACTTACGACTTCTCTTCTCCAAAATAACCCAATGGTAACTCATGAAGTTTTAAATGGCATCTTATGTTGTCTGCAAAGGTAGTGGTATCAGAGTGGCTGCAAACAAAGTATTAGAATTACTTCCAAGAATATCGATTTTTTGCTTGTACATTGGTAAAGCCCAAACTGCCTACAAATCTATAACTACAAGTAATATCCGCATTAATATTCCTAACATTGAGCACACAGCCTAGAATTCTAGTGACTAGCTGCTCTGATCGGTAGATTTCCATGGTTTCTCCGATCAACACTAGGCGAGTGCCAGACCGACGGATCGCGCGATATTTCCTTCCTCGTCCTCGTTCTATCTTCACCCCTAACTACACACACTTACACTTACATGCTCTACACTACCACACACATGTCGGGAGACCAGTCTGGAGTTTAGAGCTTGTTCCGTCTAGGGCGGAGCTCCACTGCAACGCGCTGGTGAGAAATATCAGATTGAGAAAAAACCCGCAAGCCAACGGGTAGATCGGCGACGGTTCTCGCCATCCAGCAGGAAGATTCCCGCCACCTCGCACGATAAAATATGCACTACACATACGGAACTAATTTCCTTAGCATATGACGCACCCGAAACCACTAATCAATCAATCAGAAACAGATTGAAACCATTCATCGTATGGTCTAAGCTTGTCCAACTTAAGCGAAGTCCGATTACATGAAAGGGCACTGTAGAGTCTGTGTTTATCTCCGGCGGCAAATCTGTAACTCCCTCAATGTTCCAAACATATGAGCCAAGTGGTACGAACCAAGCTCCTCCAACCACCACCTCTTCCTGACATTCCTGTTCGACCTGGCTGGCACAGAGGCTAGGGGATTCGCTTCTTAGTCCGCGTTGTATCCGACTGATGGGTTTGAACTCTATTAAAAGTGCACTGTGAGTTGAGGCATGACGTGCTTTTCTAGTACACCATGTATGACCTATGAACCAAAATACTCTCCTGATTCTTCCCCAGTAAGTTGTGTGAGCTTGGGTAAGACCAGGAGTGCGACGCA